ATTACATCGCTCCTGTTTTTCTCCTCCTTTTTCCCCTCAAAAGAAAAAAAAAGTACTGGAACCAAGAAAATTTGGATGTCCAAATGAGCCAGATAGTATTTTTTAAATCCTCATGTGAATAATGATGAGTTATCCCTGAACGACAGGTAGTCAAAATGAGAAAAGAGAGCAAACAATACCACTACAAAAAGCATCCCTGATATCAGAATAGAAGCAAACAAGGAAGTAGGCCAATTCTCACTGATTCTTAGGCAAAAAGCAACTTTAGACTTTGCATTTCTGTGCTGCAGTCTCTGCTCAGGGAAGAAGCCTATTGCTTTGCTCTTGTCGGCAGCTCTGCAGAAGGAAGGGCTGGGAGCGCCAAGACAGGGGCCTCACACACGGAAAAACTCTTTGCACATGTGGGTGTGGGACTGTATAACCTATGTTGGGGGTATGCACCCCCAAAAATGTTCATTTTGGTCCAGGGTATGTTGAAGTTGGCCATGTACTACAGCAGATGCAACTGGCTAATAAAACTAGGTTTTGAGGGAGTCATTTCAAATGACAGCGACGATGACTGAAAAAGCTCAATGAGATGGGCATGGGAAATTCACATTTTATTCAAAAGCAAAAAAAGGAAATGAAATAAGGTCAACCACAGTCCTTCCTTTAGGCATTCTGCCATTTTAACTGAAGAATGAAACGCGAAATGACCCCAGATTCTTCAAGGTCAGGTATGTCACCAAATGGACAACCTGTGTGTATCAGACCCTCATGGAATCTACTTTACCAAAGTTGTCACGATGTCCCGTTTTTGAGGTATTTAAAAAAAATTATTGTGACAGTGGATGACACAAAATGGAGCTTCCTGTTGAGTTTTTAAAATATCAACTTTTGTGGACCCAAGAAGAAATTTAGAATAGCACCAACTAAAAAGAGCCTCAGTGGCACTGAGTGAGCAAAGAAAGCTCCTTCCTTTAAGTTTGAACATGAGGGGTTCCCAATGAGAAGCAGAAGCATTGCTGGGGCAAAGGCTGTGGGGAGCAAAGGAACGAGACCCCTGCCCACCATGGTCCTGGCCAGTGCTAGGTGAGGAAGGAGGCCCATCTGGCCCACCTTGGTATGCAGAGCACCTTTGGAACCCTCAGAGACATCTACTTGGCACCCTGGACTGCAGGAGGAAAACGTGTGTTGGCTATGAGAATGCCTGCCACGTTAGAAGAGGCAGGAGTACCCAACTCCCCTTCCTCCAAAAAAAAAAAAAAAAGAAAAAAGAAAAGCCCTTCACACCTCCTTTCTTATCAGGCCTAAGAGGACAGATGTGAAACGAGAGCGCCCCGCCACCTCCAAGCCAGGAAGGCCCATCCCCCTGTCATAGTAAGGGGGCTGGCTGCCTTCGAGACTTGCCTTTCTATTTGGCCAGCAAGGGAAGAATAAAACAAAACAGAAAAACTGCTCAGAGCAGGTTCTAGCACGTAAACAGAGGTCTAAGGAGACAGCACCAAAAGGGGGGAGGGGGGGAGAAGCCAAGAGAGACTGGAGCCCACCTTGTTTTTGGTTGGTTGTGGTTTCAGAACCTTGATAGCACCTCAGCAGGACAGGATCAGGGACAGTCACATTAAAACACCATAGCACCATTTTATTTATACTATTTCAATTCATAAAAATGCTTCCTAGTCCATAAAACACACTTCAGTAACAAAAGGAAAGAGAGATTGGTTGAGGCACGTCAGGGCTATCATTTTAATTTTCCACAGCACTGCCTTGGTGTGAGATCTGGCGGTGGTTAACTTCATGAAGCCTGGCCGGGTTCTCTCAATGGAATCGGGTTACCATCTACTTACTCACTGTCACCCGTCCTCCCACACCCACTGCTGTCTGGTACAAAGCAATTAAGATCTGCTCTTTCTTTCCTTACTTTAGCACTTTAAAAGTCCCTTGTTCTGCAAACTACTGTTTCCAAAAGAGGCTGGTGAAAGGACCAAGAGGGGTGGGTACGATCTCTTTCCACGCATACCTGTCACCTCAGTGAGACAGCAAAGCAGTACCCACGAAGCCAGAGTGTGGGAAACCTAGGCCCTGCCAAAAAACACACCAAACAACAACAAAAACAAGAAACCTCAAAATCCATGAAACACCTTACTCAAGATTTCTGATGGTGAGATAACGGTTTCTTGAGCTAGCACCAGTTATTTTGCGAGAACCTGCCGCAAAGCGATTTTTATTTTAAAAACCTCTTAGCACAAAACTTTGCAAGTACTTTCCTTGCAAGCAAAAGGCAGGGAAAACAAAAGAAGAACCAAATGTCTGCACTGCATGTGGATGGCGTCTGTGGACAGGGCACACTGGGGGATGACTCTTAAGACTCCATCATTTCCGCTGCTATACTATTATTAAAACTTGATCATGTTGTTAGGTTCTTTAGTTGCAATGGCTTTATTTTTCTTCTCATGATAAAAATGTCTGTTAATCATCTTTAGGACTTAAAAAATGATAGTGCCAGTAAAAAATAAAAATTTGATTTTTCTCTTTAAGAAACCTTCAGCAGCAAGGGGGGCGGGCGATAAAGAGCTGTGCATAGTTACTTTTTAAACATACGTCTAAAGCATGCTAATTTAATGACTGAGATTTGAGGTAGGTTATACATGTAGTGTGTAAAAATCAGCATGGGCTTGAGCATGGCAACAGCACCACCTAATTTCTGAAACACCGTTCTGACGGGCGTGGGGACGTCCAATGGAGACTGCCTCTTGACTCACTTCTCAGCAGTCTACTTGCTGATCTAGAATTTACGAACCGAAGGCTGTTTGGGCTGGGGGGACAGACATCACATGCTTTTAGCTTGTACTGGTTTCTTCTTTCATCTAATGGCTTTGCTACCAAAGGGGGATGAGGGGAAGAGTCTATTTAACGCACATCAAGGAGATTCATACATGCCAAGCATCAGAATCACCTGGGTTACACTCAGGACCTTCCAAACCAACAGCCAACCTGGGGCTTTCCCGGGTCATACAGACGGTCACATTCTCCAAATGTTTTGTAAAATATTGTATTTCTTGCTTAAGATAATTTAAAATGAAGTTTTCAAGGCACCCCCGCATCTACCTAAGCACGGAGTCAAATGAGACCTGCATAAAAGTACTGATGCGATAAGCAAAATAGCATTTAAAGGACCCAACTTTTCCTCAAAACTAGAAAATCAGCATGCTCATTAAAGACTCTGCTTCCTTTAGCTTGTCAAACTGAAGGTCAGAGGTTTTCCTATAAATCTGAGTTCTGAATAATTCGAAATCCTGATAAGCTCTTGGGTATTTATTTCAAAAGCAATAATATTTCATTTTTTGTCCTGTAAAATAAATGCAACTTTACAGAATATGGTAAAAGTGAAGGATAGACAGAGCACGTTAAATATTCAGCTACTATTTACAATTTCTCCCACAATTACATGTTAAAACATACTTTTTTTCAAGTTGCTGTTTAAATCTAGGCAAAAGTGCTTAAAAAAATTTTTTTTTTTCTTTCACTATTTACAGTTAAAACCAGACCACATAAATGCTCAGGACATCTCGCAGCGACTCTCCGCCAGTGCTTCTGGAACAGTTACAGTAAACGCCCAGCGGGTCAATTCTCAGCCCTTACACAAGGCACCTGGAAGCTCAGGAGCTTGCCTTTAGCATCATCTGATCGTTAAGCTCATTTTGTGAAGACCCACATCCGAACAGAACTGCTCAATACGTGTCGGGCGTTTACCTCAGGGCTTGGCTGTCCTTCCCTGTGGGGCCACATTCCCCTCTGTGTCCTTATGAAGCCTCCCACTCACCACACACATCCACATGGGTAGCTGGATACAATTTCTGCTAATACCACAGGAAAAACAGACACTCCAAGAAGTCTGACTTGCTGTCAACGCATGTTGCTTCCGCCTGTCAGGCCCAACCTCTCTCAACAATGTTGAAAAAATTAAGCACCACATTCTCATTTCAAAGAACTGAATGAATGCACCAGAATTTTAGAACGGGCATGTTCAAGTGGGTGGAGAGGGGAGGAGGGAAAGGAGAAAACGACCAAATAGAGAAATGGCACCAATTAGGGAGGAAAATCATAGCTACCTGCTGAAAATGTTTGACTCTTGCATTTTAAAATCATTACGTGTAGGCCCACTCCCCAAATGATAGCATGGAGGGGGTGGGCTCAGGTATGAGGCATGCACCATTGTCCAATGTGAAATCCAGGGATAAGGAGATGCGTTACTGCTGTCACACTGCTGTGTGGAGCTCCTGCAGACGCAGCCTGCCCGAGTTTGAAGAAGAACAACACTACAGCACCGCTGGCTTTTCACAGCTTGGGTTCAACTTCCTGTTTTTAAAGATACAGTAGCCCTTTTCGGTATCAGCACAGACTTTGGGGCATTTTTGATGACAAAAAACTGCCACTAAGACAAATTCCTTCAGCCAGTATTCGTTGGCTAGTCAGCTCGGTGGAAAAGGCTCCTGAGAACCTCTCGATTCCAGCTCCATCCCGAGGTGCTGCCGAGGGGACCACGGTATCACGTGACTTGATAGCTAAGGGACAGAGAGGATTCAGTGTGGAGACTAGCAAGCTTGAAGCTGTCTACTTCCAACCTGGTTTCTGGGAAAATCTATGCCAGCATCTCAGGTGCCTGGCCTGGGGTGCACCTGCCCCCATCCCCGACTCCAAGCCGGTGACTGGAAAAGGGACCCCAGCTGTTTTTCTACAGATTCTCCCATCCTACCGGAGAGGACAGAAGCTGTCCTGAGGGCTCCCTCCCCTGAAGGGAAGGCATGTCTGTCAGGAGGGATGCAGTGGGTGGCTACAACCTGCACTTGGCTCATGAGGGGCCGATGGCTGAGAGAACCTTGTCAGCTCCCAAGAGGGCCAGGCTCACCAGGCCCAGCACAACTGGGCAGGAATGAGTGCTTCTGGCCTTTCCTGCCGATCCTTTACCATTACAATTGTCACTTTTAAAAAAATCCAATAAATACACATTTTAAATGGAATTTAAAACTACTCCTTTGTGAAAGGACACTATAAACTTTCTTTCCATTATTGTGATATACAAGGATAGAGTTTTAAAAACAAGAGAAAATAAAAGGTCCCCCCAAACAAGGGAGGAAAAAAACCAACGTGGAGATATAAATATTAAGATCACGAAAAAATCACCCGACAGCCGTAGTTTCTTCTTCAAAGTGCTGGGGAATTGGGGGGAAGGGAGGGGCGGGTCAGTTCTGAGGTTTGGACCATAAATACATATATATGCGTATCTATATATGTATATATAGATAAAAAGACTTCTGCACCCCCAACCCGCCCCCAGGTGTGAGGGCGAAAGCACCACAGAGGCAGCTCGGGCCTGGCCCGACGCTGAGGTACGCTGGCTCCCTGGCACCCTGGCGCCTAGATCCAGCGGCTGTAGGGGCCCGTGACCTTCGTGTAGGCGTACGAGGACACGGTGACTGCTGAGTCCGTGGGCACGGTCAGCGCCTGCCGGGTGGGGACAAGCCCCTTCTTTTCCTTATGCTGGGGCTCGGGGACCATGGCACCCCCCCACTTGCGCTTCTTCCCATACAGCTTGGCCTCCTGCTGGCCCAGGCCCAGCCGGGCGGCCTCCTCCTGTCTCGCCCGCGCCCTCTCGGCCAGCTGCTTCATCTTGGCCTCCCAGAGGGCCAGCCCGTGATTGGGCTGGTTGAGGTTCTTGTGCTGGTAGAAGACCAGCGAAATGCGGGTGGGGTGGCAGCGGTTGGGTTTCTTGAGGGGTGTGGTGGCGTGCAGCTCCCGCCGGGCACACTCGATGAGGATGGAGCCGTGAGCGGGGGCCACGGCCACGCCGCCGATATTCTCGTCCAGGAAGTTGTGTTCACTGTCGGACCACAGCTCCTCCTCTGCCTCCTCTGCCCCAGCAGCGCCGCCGCCTCCGCCGCCCTTCTCCTCCTTGACTGTGCCCTTGCTGGGGGGCTCCTCCGCCGTCCCCTCCTCCAGGCTGAAGGGATCCCACAGCTTCTCCTCGGTCTTCAGGGCCCCAAATAGCTTCTCAGTGGGGCCCAGGGGCATGCCAAAGGACTGCCAGGCTTTGTCCAGCTGGCTCACCCCCGGGGTTGGAATCCTTCCCTCCTCCCCTTTCAGGGGGCTCCACAGCTTGTCTTGGAATCTGGGACCACCTTTCAGGGCAGAGTTGAAATCCCCGGCTCCTACCGCCCATGGCTTCTCAGTTAGGCTGGGCCCAGCCAAGGCCGAGGTGCTGTTCCCAAATTTGCAGTGGCTCCACGGCTTGCCCCGCAGCCGTCCTCCGGGCTGCGGGGCTGGCTGCTGTCCCTCGCCAGGGAATAACCCCCACTGATGCTGTCCATCCGGGAAGTGCGAAGGGGTCAGGCAGCCAGCCCCAAAAGAACCGAGCTTATCGGGGACAACAGCAGGGCTCTCCGCAGGAGGGAACACACCCCAGCTGCCACCCACACTGTTAGTCCTCTTGGGGGACACGCTTGGGCCTCCTGAGTACTGTCCCCATAGGTGATTGGGTCCCCCATTCTGAGATGCCTCGGGCAAAGGCATTTTGCCCATCTTGCCAGGCTCTCTGGGTACAGATTCGGTGTGGACCAGTGGATCTACTGGCTCTTGCTTGATGGATCTGTTGTAGCAACTGGAGCTCTGTACAAAGGGAGAGGGGTCCCTGGACACTGGGTGGATCTGGGGGGCCTTTGGAAGCAGATACTCCTTGGGGCCTGGGTAAGCAGGCTGCTGGTGGTGTGGAGCAGGGTGGTGGGTGTCTGTGGGAACAGCCTGGCCAGGCAGCTCGGCAAACTCAGCACCACCGTAGGCTGGGCTCAGGCTGTTGTGCAGAGCGTGGAGGTCTGGCTTCTTCTCAAAACTGCTGTTGCTGCCACTGTGCCCCCAGGTGCCAGGGCCCAGGAACTGAGAGGGGAAGACGGGGTTACTGGATGGAAAGCCATAGTAGCCAAATGATGGAAGCGCGTACTTGGAGTGGAAGCCGTTGACGGAGGCCAGGCCGGGCTGTGCATAGTAGGAGTGGTAAGAGTACACGCTGTTCACGCTGTACGGGTCGGAGGGCCGGCAACTGCCCAGCACCGAGTAGCTCTCCACCACCGCGTTGCCGCTGTACTTGAAGGAGCTGAAGTGGTTCTGTGGCTCCACCTTGAGGGAGGGCTTCAGGCTTTGCCGGGACAATCCACCCTTCAGAGACAGGCCTGAGGAAGACAGGAGGCAAGACAGAGAAGAAGCACAGAGAAGCACAGAGACGGACGCTCCCTCTTGCCAAGAGGTTTCCTCTGCTGGGCGGGCGAGACGAGTGAGGCTGGACTTGCTCCCCGTGCAGCGCAGCGTGGCCCGGCCCCACGGAAGCCCCAGAAGAGCAGCCGGCAGCGCCCAGGGCTCCGGTGTTGTCATTCTTCCCGACTCTAGCGAACTCCACCCGGCCTCACTGAAGCCCCCTCGTGCCAGCCACTGCAGGGACGAGGGCCGCCCCACACCCGAAAGCCCTGCTGCAGACCACACGCCTGCCGCCTCGGTACTTTCCGCAGCGAGGAGAGCCGGTGAGCCGGGGGGACGCCCAGCTGCCCTCTGGGAAGACAGGGAGACCGCCTTCATTTGGCTCCCAGGTGCCTCCCATCTGGCTTGGTTTCCCGGGGCTGCTGCAGCTATGGCGCTGACAAAATTAAGATAATTGATGGTCCAGGTGGCTGAGAGACCCCAGTACTTTTCTGTACGGAATTCTACCTCAAGGCAGGAAGAGTGGTGGTAAGGGAGCCGTCCAGGGCCCCCCACCCAACAGTGCCCGTGCCACCCCCGCCGGGCACCCTCTCCCCACACACCTGGGTCAGTGGGGATGCCAGCCAGCTCCAGGGCCTCCTGCTTGAGCTTCTCAGGAGTGCTCAGCTTCTCCTTCTGAACCTTCTTCTTCTCGGCTGCCGCCTTCCTGGCTTCCAGCTGCCGCTGGCGGCAGGACTTGGCAGGCTCCGGCAGGCGCCGGACCTCGCGGGGGAAGGCGGTGAGCACCTGGATGGCCCCGCTGCCCACCTTGGCGTTCTGGTTCTCCTCACTGCCAAACTCATCCGTGTTGGCCATCTTGTACAAGGGGAGTACGTGCAGCTGCTCATCCTCGGGAATCTTGCCCACGCAGCGATTGTCTTCCTTGGTCAGGGTGCAGACCTGCCCCAAACATAGAGACGGGGAGGGTGCTTGGGCTTGGGGTAGCCAGACACTGAGCGGGAGGGGCTGAGCATCCCGCACACAAGGCCGCCCCTTCCCCACACCGTCCCGGCCCCAGCTATCCACTATTACTTTCCGGAGCATCTAAAAAGCGCATTTGTCTTGCTTTACAGAGTAACGGTATCACCAGCGTTTAGAGTCTGCTCGACAGTTTTCAAAGCACATCCATTCACTTTGTCTAACAAGGCTCTGGGGGGATAAGATGACCGGCTGAGGGTCACAAGGCCAGAAAGGGGCCAGGTCACGACTGGGAGACGTGCTCTGCCCTCCACTGCCATCATGGCCATTACATGTCATCACACAGATCTCGGACCTTCCACCATTATCCTCCTTGCCTTCAACACTCAGCCTCCTTTTGCCCTTAAAATTGAAAATTATATGTGCTGGTTGTAGAAAATGTAGGCCAGCACAAAGGACATAAAAATTATCTCCATAATCCCACCAACTAGAAATAACCCTTGCATATACCTGGTCATATACGCACTTTTTTTTTTTTTTTAGACTTTAATGTTATTAAGAACACACTCACTTTTTAATAGTTAAATAGGATCATTTATATTATGCGTACAGTTTTAGAATAACTTTTTTTTCTTAACACAGTATATTTTCTGACATGTTAAGTATGCTTCCCCAATATGATTTAAGAGCCACACAATATTATTCCACTGTATCAATGTGTTAATTTAACTAATCCCTCATGACCATTTAAACCTGTTTCCCTATCATAAATAATAACGTTTATCCTTTTCACTGAATTTAATTCCTTAGAATAAAAGCCGTAAGGGAGAACTGCCACATATTGCCAAACTGCGCTCCAAAATGATGATCGTCAGTGTTTCACTTACCCTGGCAGAATGAGTTTCAACTTTCCTATACTTTTGCTGATACTTTTGCTATTAATTTCTTTAGAACTTTCGCCTGTTATCAAAATGTACCTCGTCGTTGGTATGTGTTTCTCTGATTATTAATAAGGTTTGATTGATTTTTTTCTCGTTTACGTTTTACTCTTACATTGACTATATTTTATTTTCTGTATTCCTGATGTTCTGGCATTTGGGGCCTTGATCCTGGAGGGACTGTCCCTCCCCTAAGACTAGCTAATTCCTATAGATAGCAAATGATCCCCTGCCAGTGCAACTCTGATACACAAACCAACCAACCCAGAGTTCCCACCCCCAACCATCTCCTTTATAAAACTCTCACACACCAAGCAAATATTCTCTCTGCCTTAAATCACCCCAGGGCTAGGTATTGACAACTAGGGACCACCTCTATAGCCCAGAGCCTGCAGAAATGATTCAAACTCTCCATCCTCAGCTTATTCAGCTTTACTTATCCTACCTTGCCCATTCCTTTCCACGAAATCCCCAGTAAAGCTCTGGGCTATTCTCTCCCCTCTCTGCCTCCTGACAAACCCTGCTGCTGCCCAGTGAGCTGCCAAATGAGGACTCCAGGGCTGTAAGTGTCCTTATCCTGGGGCCACTGCACAAAGCTGTGCTGAGGACGCCCTCCCTGTGGTCTCTAGAGGAGTCCGAAAGCACTGACTGCCATCCACAGGAGACTGGTCGATAAGTGGTGGCACAGCCACACACACAGCCTTAGAACATGCTGCCTATATCCACTGACCAGCAAGTTGTCCACCACATATTCTTGAGTTCAGAAAAGCAAGATCATGGAACAGCACATACACATAATGTGTAAAATGTATACAGCTTTGCACACACACATACATTCAGGTGTCTGAATGGATGGTCATCACGATGCTAACACAGGTTACCTATGAGATAACAGGCATTTTTACTTTATACTTTCTCGTATTATTAAAATTATTTTTTACAATAAATAACTGTTTAATTAGAACAAAAAATATTATTCATTTTTGGAAAAAACTTATTTTTCACTCCAAACTCCGGAAGCTCTGGGATCCAAATAACCTCACTGTGCTCCTATCTCTTGGTGCCCCATCCTCCTTCCCTGCCCCTCTCCTAATCCTGGAGGGCCCGTCCTTCTTTCTCTGTATTTTAGCTAGAAACCCTCACAATACAGTGTAGACAGAAGCCTGCCCCATCTTGCTTCTCAGTCTTGGACATGGGGAAGGAGGACAAGGTGGAGAAATGAAATCCTAGGGTTGGGCCATTCATCCACTTGGGGACACAAGCTATACCGACTCTGGGAGCCCCCTTTCAGTTGAATATGCCCGTGCCCTTGCCTCTTCCACAGCCCCCCTGGGAGCCCTGTCTCCTAGGACCTAGTTAAAAAGCAGAGAAGACAGCCACATTACCCCTTCCAGGGTGCCCCCAACCCAAGCCCAAACCTCCTCTCTTTTCCATCTGCACTCACTCTTCTGGGGCCAGCATCCAGGCTCATGGCCCTAACTATAAACTCAGCGCTCTCCACTAGCTATGAACTCAGTGCTCTCCAGTCTCAAATTCATTTCTCCAGACCCTCCCTCTCCCCTGCCTACTCTACATCTCCACCTGGACGTCTAGCAGGCATCTCAAAATAGAATTATTGATTTTCACCCCAAAACTGGTCTCTCCTGATATTCTACATCTCAGTAAACACCAACACTTGCCTAGTTGCTCAAGCAACTCACACATCTAGGTCCACCCCAACAGCAATTACTCTCAGCTACGCCTTCAAAATCAACCCACAACCTGTCCGATTACTCCCCACACCCCACCCTCACTCCTGCCCAAGCCCTGTCACCTCTGGCCGGGACAAGTGTCCCAGCCTCCTACCTGGCCTGCTTGCTCTGATTCTCCCCCACCCACCCCTACCCCAACATATTTTATTCTCCATCTGCAGGAGCAAGAGAGTGCTTCTGACTTTATAAATGAGATCTCAGGGCTTCCCATCACACTTAGAGCACAACCCACAGCCCTCCCAGCCTCCCATGCTCCCTGCGACCCCACCCCACCCCTGCCTGCCCCTCTAATCTCACTCCTCTGAGCCTTTGCCTGTGCTGGTCCTTCTGCCTGGAGCACCCCACCCTCACGCATTCAGTCCCTTACTTCCGCATCTCTGCTCAGGTGCCCCTCCTCATACAGGCCTCTCTCCATGTCATCTAGAATAGAATCTGCTGTCATCTCATCCCTTACCCTACTTCATCTTCTCCTCACAGCCTTCCTTGCTACTGGACATTATATCACATTTTTAGGCAGCACTCTGTCCAGTTTATTCCCCGGCATCTAGAGCAGTACCTGAGGCACAATAAACATTTGCTCAGTGAATGAATCAAAAGGTTGTTTGGACTTAAATCCTAGTGCTCAGAGAGACCTGGAGCCACACTTTAGAGAACTGGGAGGCACTGGGTGCCCAAGAGGCTGCATTCTGCAGCACCCAAGCCAGCCTTGCCCCTGCATTTCCCAGAGAAGTGGGCAGGAGCAGGTAGTCTGGCAGGGTCCCTCCCTGCCTTGAGCCCACCTATCTGCAGAGAACAGGTGTGCGCCCTCCCAGGATCGTCTCTCAGGTGGGGCTGTGACAGGTCACAGGCTTCCTTACCACCGTGCACCCGTTGTAGAGGTTATGCTGGTCCTTGTGGGCGTGGGCACAGAAGTCCATGCAGGCCGTGACCCCTGAGAAGGGCCGCCCTTCCTTCAGCCCCAGGCGGCAGTCAATCGCTATTTCCTCATTGGTCACCTGTGTGGATGGCCAAGGACAGCTGCTCGAGTGACCTGAGGTGAGTGGCCCTGATTCGGCATGGGGGAGGCCAGGTCTTAGAGGGAAGGAGGGAGGAAGGAGGTTAAGGACCACAGCCATCTTGTACTTGGGCTGTAGGAGGGAGGTTTTCTGGCTGAAGTCCCTATAAGGGGTTACTTCCTTCTGGGTTATCTCAAGTCCCTCTCACCTCGTCTATGGGGTGCAGCAGTGACAGGTGAGAGAAACTCAAGCCTCCCCAGTAGAAACCAGAGCAGAGGAGGTGGAGGATTATTAAGGGGAGAGAGACAGAGACCAAGGATACAGGAGAGACAGCCTGGGATGTGGTTAGCTTGGTGTAAACAAGGGATCTTAACAAAGACCTTAACAAAGATCACTGCTCTAGCTCTGGCTGGGCTTTTCCCGTAAGGAACCCACTCCGCTGTTCCCCCACTTCAGGGAGCCTGGGCAGAGATGTGGGTGACATGTAGGCACAGGACAGCCCAAGACCCAGTACCTGGTTCTGATAGGCCTGGGGGGCCAGCCGCTTATACAGGGGAGCAACTTCGGTGGCCAGGTCCTGGAAACTCTTCCGGAGCACTTCTTCCTGTGGACAGAAGAACAGTCACACACCTCCAGAGCAGCCCTGCCTGGCAAACTCTGCACACTGGAAACTGACCTCCATTCTAGAACCACTGCCGGGTTGCCACTGGGAAGGTAGGAAGTAAGGTGCCATCAGGTATCTTTATGGTGTTCCCTCTGGGAGGGGTGCCAGGTCTGTTTTAATGCTGGAGACAGACGCTGAAGCTCACCAGGAAAGACACTGCCTGAGGGTCTGGTCACCCTGACTACTAAGCACCTGTTCTGCCAGGCTCCAGCCCAGTGCTGCTCGGAACACCTAGAACAGGTTCCTGCTCTTGCTAAGCACTTGCTCAACACCCTAGGTCAGAGGTGCGGGATGGCAGGCATGTACAAGCACGAGCGGCAGGCGTGGGTCCTTCTTGCAGTGGTCCAGACAGGTAAATAAAGGCAGGGAGAGGTGGGTGAGGCCCGTGCTAGAAATCCCACAGCCAGCTAGGCCCAGCGCCCATCACCAGCCAGGTACACGGCCAGACCACAATGTTCTGTCCTTTAGACCCGCACCATCTCATGTGTTTAGTCACAAGCCACGTGTGGCTATTGAAATATAAATTCATTTTAATTAAAATTAAATAGTTTTTTTTAAAATTAAGAAGTTTAAATTAATTCTTTTTAATTTAAAAATTAAAAAAAATTCAGCCCCTCCACTGCACTGGCCACATTTCAAATGCTCAGTGGCTACATGTGGCTCCCATGGCTGTGTTTTCTACAGAGAACATTTCCATCATCACAGAAAGTTCCACTGGATAGTGCTGCCCTCGACAAAGCAGCAGCCCTCAGACTGGCAGAGAGTTTAAGGTATCTGTAGCCTCTCTCTGGCTCTCTGAGGGTAACAAGTTGGGCTATGGGGGCTCCTAGCCAGCCTTGAGCACAGGCATGGAGAGTTTATGGAGAAGAAAGAAGAGGAAGAGGGAAGAAAAAAGGTACCAAACTCACAGAATTAGAAATGGAAGGGTGAGACCAATGGCTCAGCTGTCTGTCCAGCAGGGCGGCCAGAGTTGCCAGCCAGCCTCACTGCACCTCCCTGGCTGCCTTCCAGACGCTGCCACCAGCATAGTGGGCCGGAAGCCAGCACAACACGGGGGTGAGGCTTGTGAGCTCTGGGGAAACACAGGCCAGGGTTTAAATGCTGACTTCATCATCACTGTCACATGGCCCTGGGCAAACCATTTGCCTCACGTGTAAAGGGGGCAGTAACAGGGCCTAGATCCTCAGGCTGTCATGAGATTAACTGAGACACCTGTGAGGTGCTGGGCGGAGTACCCAGCACTTAGTGCACAGGAAATGGTAGCTGATGGAACAGGGAAAGTATTTGTGAGAAATTAAAGCAATTATTTTCATTCATGGTAATTCCTAGTTCCTGGCGGCACTGGGACTCCTCCATTCATTGAAGCAACTGCATTTGCTGCTTCTGGGGGAGGCCAGGCACTGCCAAAAGTTAAAGTCTAGTGTCAAATCAGACTCTTAGACTAGGTCGTGTAATAGTCAGAAAGCTGGGCTTTGAGGGGAAAAAAGGGGTTCTAAATTTGGACGTGCTTCCTTTTATTTCTGAAAAGCAAAGCTTGGAAGTCTGAGCATAGAAATTTACATGTGGTGTAAAAAAAATGTGCCCCGGGAGAGTCCCTGTCTCCTGGAAAATGGGGAAGCCCTTCTGGTAAAAGGAGCTTGGAGAGGTTTGGAAGGTAGAGGCTGGGATCAAGGTATTGCCTGGATCCAGTACCCCTCTCACAGCAGCAGAGGCAGAAGGCAGGGAGGCTGGAGGAGACATGACAGAGAGACCACTCAGGTCTATGCCTGCTTTGCATCTGGACTCCAAGTGGAGACCCCCTCGGGATGGCCCTCATAACCAGGGCAACAGAGAAGTGGCAGAGTGGGAGGTGACCTGACCTGACGCTTCTGGTTCCCAGCCTAAGCTCGGCCTGCAGAGGAGACCCTGAGGCCCCTTGTGCTGCTGTCACTGGGTTGGGGAGGAGCTCTGGTGGGCGGGAGGAGGCCTCAGGCCTAGTGGCCATACCATGTGGATGCCAGACCAGTGCCCGAGGACCGTGCCAGGCCCCCAGCAAGGAAGGAGACACCAAGGACTTAGACAACTGGACAAGTGCACAGAGATGTGGGCCCCGCAGCCAGGCAGGATGAGGGACACCTCGGGACATCCAGCATCGGCCAGAAGGTGGCCTGAGGCCCAGTGGCCCCTCTTTGTGCCACACGTCACACCCAGAAAGATGTCTTGAGAAGAATGGAGGGGAGAAATAACCCTTTAAGAGGGTCAAGTTCTAATGAGGAATCTGAACATTTACCTTAAAAGAGACTTTTCTAAACTGCAAGAGTCTGAGGTACCTGTAATTGGTAAGTCTAATTTTTCACTCATCGTATCCCTCCACACTACACCCCACATACCTCATTTCACTGCAAGATAAGGTCAGTTTAAAAAAAAGAAAGGAAGTTCCATTTTCTACACATCTGAGTCACAGTGTGCTAATCCTACATCCCACCGGGACTATTAAAGGCAGTAGGTGGATGGAATAGGGTGAGTGGGAGGGTCCCATGCTCCCTGTGGGGCTGTGCTCACCTCTTTGGGATTGTCCCCCGCGAGGCGGAACTTGCGAGGAGTCTTGCTCCGAGCATATTTGCAGCCATTGAAGTACATGCTCCAGGAACAACCGAAGGAGAAGGAGGCACCACAGGTATTTGGGTCTTTGCCCTGGCAAGCGCAGGTACGGCTGCAACATATATCACATGTTAGGCATACAAGGCACATTTTTAGTTCTAGAATTTTCCCCCTCCCTCGGGGGGAGGCCCTGTTGAGGCCTGGCATCCACTGGCCTCCCAGTGACGGCCATGACATCCTTCCCTGACCTCAACTCCTTTCCCAAATCTCTACCCTTGTGGGCAGGGAATCAGCTCTGAGCAGCCTGTTTGGCTCCCGCCCCTGAGCCTGAAGTCTGAGAGTGTGCTGCGGGGAGAAGCACATGGGCTGTTTGAGATGGCTGGGGAGGATCTAATCAAAAACCCAATAACGTTTACACTTTGCCTTAACTTTAATATCCTGACCAGCTCCAACACAGACCACACAAATGGGAATAATGTGAACCGCAGAGTTTGAACATGCCTGCTTCTTGCAGGCCCAGGTGCTGACAGGCCTTTAAACAAATGAACACTGACTTTACCATCCAACACTTAATAAAATCCAGAAACAACCCAAATGCCCTCCGACTGGGGAATGAATAAACAAATCGTGACACACCCACACAGTGGAATACTGCTCAGTGGTGAAAAGGAATGAGCTACTGATACACACATCCATAGATGAAACTCAGAAACACTGTGCTCAGGGAAAGAAGCAAGACTCAGGAGGCTACATGATGCATGGTTCCATTCATATGACATTCTTGTAAAGGCAACCCTACAGGGACAGGAAATAAGATTTGTGGTTGCCAGGGGTGGGGAGAAGCGCCTGGCTATAAAAAGGGCACGGTGGAGTCTGGGGGGTGATGGAACTCTTCTATATCTTCATTGTGGCAGTGGCTACATGACTGTAAACATGTCAAATTCTTCAAACTGTACACCTCAAAGGATGAATTTTACTGGAAGTAAAAATATCTTAATTTAAAAAATGGGGGAGGGGACCCTATAAGGGTAGGTCTTGTGAGTACCACTGATGCCTTGTATTAGCGGGGCACTCACACTTTTCCACACTTGTTACCACTATTAGAGCCTCAGAGTCAATCTGGGGCGGAAAGCAAAGCTAAGCTGAGTCAAGAGACCCTCCCCAGCCAGGGCCAGACCCCAGGCCAGATCCGTAGGTAAGCATTCTTTCCACCACAGTCCTAACTTGGCCGGACACACAGGGCCCTGACCCCACTGCCCCACCCCTGCCCACTGGGACCGTCCACATACTCATCGTTGAGGCCACATCTCCGGCTGGTGGGGTTCCCGTACTTCCGGAGGGTATCGGTGAGCTCCTGGTAGAGGGTGTCTCCGAGGCTTCGGGGGATGCCCTCCCAGGCCAGGATGAGGATGACGATCACGGCATTCTGGCAGTGGTGGCCTGCCCGGTGCCGCACCAGGCAGAGCAGCTTCTCTTCCAGCGTGTGCCTGCGGATCACCTGCAGGGAGGTGGGGCGGGGGGTGCTGTGAATCACAGGAGCCGGGCACCCATGATCCTCTGCATGGATGCCACACACCCTCACCTCTGCCCAAAAGACCTGCGGGTGCAGATCTTTAGGGCAGTGTACCAGGGGCGTCACACCTCGGTGACAGCAACCACACAGGCTAAAGGGCCATTATAATTAGGGAAAGAAAACCATTAAATAGCAAAATAGAAAAACAATTACTACAAAAGCTGAGTCATTGGTGATGTATATAGACTTAGGGATAAGAATATCGAATTGGCCAGAAAGTTCCTTCGGATTTTAAGTAAAAATAAAAGACATCTTTCATTTTCACCAAGAACGTTATTGAACCATATACTCACCCTTTTGTTCCACTACCTTCTGCCATGTTTCAGGCAACTTCATGATTCCGTCTTCCTGAAACTTTTTCTTTTTGAGCAAAGAACTGTTCCAGGTGCCTTTTACAGTCTTCCAGGGAATTGAAATGGTTTCCATTGAGAGAATCTTGTAAAGACCTAAATAAATGGAAATCCGAAGGTGCAATGTCTGGTGAATATGGCAGATGAACCAGAACCGCACAGCCAAGCTGTAACAGTTTTTGCCTGGTCATCAAAGAAGCATGCGGTCTTGCGTTACCCTGATGGAAGATTATGCGTTTTCTGTTGACTAATTCTGGTCGCTTTTCATCAAGCACTGCTTTCAGTCGGTCTAATGGGGAGCAGTACTTGGAATTAATCGTTTGGTTTTCAAGAAGGAGCTCATAAGAGAGGACTCCCTTCCAATCCCACCACATACACAACATCACCTTCCTTGGATGAAGACCGGCCTTTGGTGTGGTTGGTGGTGATTCACTTCGCTTGCCCCACGATCTCTTCCGTTCCACATTATTGTACAGTGTCCACTTTTCATCGCCCGTCACAATTTGTTTTGAAAACAGAATGTTTTCATTAAGTTTGAGTAGAGAATCGCACGTGGAAATGTGGTCAGGAAGGTTTTCTTCGCTTAACTTATGTGGGATCCAAACATCAAAGCGATTCACGTAACCAAGCTGGTGCAGATGACTTTCAGCGCTTGATTTGGATATTCTGGGTAAATCGGCTATCTCCCGCGTGGTATAACGTTGATTGTTCTCAATTAATATCTCGATTTGATTCGCTATCAACTTCAACAGGTCTACCCGACTGTGGAGCACTGTCCAGCGAGAAATCTCCTGCACGGAACTTCACAAGCCACTTTTGACACATGTGATCAGTCACACCACCTTCTCCATACACCGCACAAATCTTTTTTTGCGTTTTTACCTTTCTTGAAATAATAAATCATAATATGCCAAAAATGTTGTTTTTCCTTCCATCTTCCATATTAAAATGTCTACACAAAAATTCACCAATTTTGATGGTTTTTTTTTTAATGCACTCTGATATGACAGCTGTCACAATCCAATCCAATTGTTTCGAATGAAGTTAAAGACAACTAAAGGCTACTAGAGCCAACTGACGGAAAAAGCCGAACGAACCTTTTGGCCAACCCAAAACATAGATAAAATTATAAGCCAAAACATATTCAGAGATTTTTTATGTTGTCCTAAAACATCTGCAGAGAAAACGGTGCATATCTGTATGTTTTTAGTTAAAAAGCAAGGGTCTTGATGCTGTGGAAACCAGTTTTTGGTAGTTCCTCAGAAATTTAAACAAATATAACCAGGCACAACTAAGAATACACCCAAGGGAATTGAGAGTAGGGATTTGGACAGGTACTTGTACCCCCATGGCCAGAGCAGCATTACCTAGCAATAGCCAAAAGGCAGAAACAGCCCAAATGTCCGTCAACTGACGAATGGATGAACAAAATGTGGCACGTCCATTCAATGGAATATTACTCAACCTTGAACAGGAACGAAGGTCTGACTCATGCTACAACGTGAGTGAACCCTGAGAACACTATGCTAAGTGAAGCAAGCCAGACACAAAAGGACAAATACTGTATGATTCCACTCACATGAGGTACCTGTACGTGTTAAATTCACAGAGACAGAAAGTAGAATGGTGGTTACCAGGGGCTGGGATGGCGGAGAGGGAGGGTTTGGGGAGTTACTGTTTAATGGGTACAGAGTTTCAGTACGGGCTGATGAAAAAGTTTTGGAAATAGACTGTGGTGATGGTTGCATAACAACGTGAATGTAATTGATGCCACTGAATTGTACACTTAAAAATGCCAAATTTTATGTTATGTATATTTTAACACAATTTTAAAAAATTAATAATACCAAAACCCATTGAACTATATACTTGAAATGAGTGAAGTGTATGGTATGTGAATTATATCTCAATAAGGCTGTTTACAAACAAAAAAGCGGGCTTCCCTGGTGGCGCAGTGGTTGAGAGTCCGCCTGCCGATGCAGGGGACACGGGTTCGTGCCCCGGTCTGGGACGATCACACATGCTGCGGAGCGGCTGGGCCCGTGAGCCATGGCCGCTGGGCCTGCGCGTCCGGAGCCTGTGCTCCGCAACGGGAGAGGCCACAACAGTGAGAGGCCCGCGTACTGCAAAAAAAAAAAAAAATTAAAATAAAAACAAAACAAAACAAAAAAGCACGGGCCTTGGGCATTGCTCTCCTCTTCACTCATTCCCTAAACACCGTCCTGGCTCACACAAAGATGTGTCAAGGCAAAGGGTCCAGGAGTGGGGGATGAGGTGGCTGAATCTCCCCCCAAAATCCCAGGGAATTCTGTGACTCGATAAGATGTGGGGACCTGTGAAGAGGGGAGACTGGGAAGGGCTCTGAGTGGCAGGAGGAGGGACAAGGCCTCGAGGCGGGGCTTCTACAAAGGACTATAAGCAGGGGGCTCACTTATATACATAGCTACATGCTTTAGAAAGGGGCACAGATAGTCGGGAGAGGGGTGAAATGGGGAGACCGCTGACGTAACACAAGCAAAACAGATGAAGTCGTAACTAGAACAATGGGGGGAATGAAACAGGAAAAGGAATGGATTCTAGAGACCTTTAGAAGAAAGGGAACTTTGGGACCACCTGACTATAGGAGCTGAGGGACAGGGAGAAGTCTTAAATCACTTCCACGTTTCGTGGCGCAGAAAAGTGGGCGAGTGTGGGCCGTGTTTCCTGGCAGGTTAGCAGGGAGCATGCTGAGGCCACAGGCACTCTGGAACACTGGAGTGGCTATTCTAAGCAGCCCCAACAGAATGGGTGTGGAGGTCAGGAGATGTCTGGGCTGGAGACAGACTTGGTCATGAGTACGTCAGTGCAGGGAGATGCTGAGAGAGCCACCGGGCAGGAAATACCAATAAGGAAAGGAGGCCAGATGTACAACTAAAGAGTTGGGGGTGGGGGGTGGGGGTGGGAAGCCAGACCTCTCTCCATCGACCACTGCCTGGTGGGAACTCCAGCCGAGTGTACCTACCTCTTCCAGTTTTGCAAGAAGAAAACAGAAATCCAGATTTTCACATGAAATCTCTCCTTTTAAACACAGGAACACCAAATTCAATTTTTAAGATTGTAGTAAAATATATGTAACTTAGAATTTAGCATTTTAAGTGTACAGCTCAGTAGCATTAAGTATATTCACGCTGTTGTGCAAACTATCACCAGAACTTCTTCCACCTCCAGAACTTTTTATTTTCCCAAACAGAAACTCTACACCCATTTAACACTAACTCTCCATCCTCCCCTGCCCACAGCCCACGGTAACAACCATCCTGCTTTCTGACTCTATTAACCTGACTACTCTGGGTACCTCACAGAAGTGGAATCATACAGCATTTGTCCTTTAATAACTGGCTTTATTTCGCTTAGCATAATGTCCTTAAGTTTCATCCATGATGCAGCATGTATCAGAATTTGCTTCAAAAATTTAAAGGACACCTTGAATGCTAAACAAAACATATAACTGGGCCAAGAGTTCCTGTTTTGAGCCACAGCAATAATGGTGTCCACCACCCTCACCCTTGGTGGAAGCATCGATTACATCATTATTTATAAAATTGTTTTTGTGGCTCAGTAAATATACGAACATGCCATTAATCATACCCCTGTGTGATTGGCCTACTGCAGACTGAGCCGGGCATTTCACGGGCAACTGCACACATCGTAGGTACTAGGGTTTCTGAGACACTTGTCAACCTCTGCTCATTGCCTGGGCAGTGCATCGACTCATTGCACTCATGTGTAACACACGTTCAGAGCACACAGAGACACCCGACCTGTCAAAGTTGAGACTGAGGTCACGCCCTCTGGGGTTCCCAAGTGACAAACACATAAAGGTGGACTAGGCATGAGCAGACAGCCCTGTGGCACCCTCACATCCCCCACTCACACTCAAAAAAGCTATAACAAAGCGGAGCTCCCTATCCACACTCTATGAAGGAACCCAGCAGGGTGAAATACACAAAGTGCACAAGTCAAAGGCCAACGTAAGGTGTGAACAAACCAACACTCGAGCACGGCAACACAGACTGTTCCCACGCCATCACAGGACTGTAAACAAATCACCTAGATTCTGGGCAGGAATTCCCTGAGCACTGAACCTCGAACAGCACCAGGCAGAAACTCAAATCTGTTCCCCCATAACTCTCACCCTTGGTACTTAGTTCCAACTACTGGGGTTCCCCAGCAAGTCTATTCTACCATGCCCCTGAAGGGTCTTCAAATGTCCGCCTTCTGGCCTGTTACCTTTACAGGCTGGCGAAGCAGTGTCTCTATGATTCTTCTACCAAAAGCCCATTTTCCCCATCTGCAGTGTTTGCTTCTGGCATGCCTCTGTTTATTCTGAGCCTTTGGAATGCTCCATGGGTCACTCCCTTACTCCCATGCTTGGTGACTTCCATACTTTGTACAGGCCACCTTAAAATCAGAGACTACCAGCAGGCTCTCTGGGTAGCCCCCATTGCTTTCTTAGATCATTCTCTCGACACACATTTGCTGGACATCCATGATGCACCTCAGCTTTGTCCCCCAAGATCCTAGCCGGTTAAGTCTAGAGCTTGTCAGGTACACTGCTTGTAATGAAGGTATTGGTTGGGGGTTCAGGCCGCAAACACAGACATGAACCCCAGTTGGAAAGAAAACCCAGGCTCTAGACATGGGACAGGGGAAGTGGGGAGAGCCACAGAAGGCACTGTCCACCACAGGCAGCTGGATGCTGCCAGTCCCCCGTGGCCATGGACCACTTCCTGCGCTCTTGATGCCATGCTGCCACCAAGGATAATCTGTCCTTCTTAGCATTTGTGGGTCACTTCCCCAGGGGTGGGGGGCAGGGAAAGGGAACACCTGCCTCTTCTCTAACTTCCAAGGAGGTGGAACTCTAGATGAGCTCTACAACCAAAATACATAGGGTATTTAGTGGCTGTGTAGGCAAAAAATAAGAGAAGTCCACCACACTATGAGAGATGGTTATAAAAGAGGAAAAAAAAAAAACCCCACAACTCAGCACGGCCTTTTTCTTGCCACTGTAACAGTTCTATGATCTACCACTCTTCTCATAAAAAAATTTTCTTTCCTCTCTCCTTTTATCTTCACTCATCAGATACAGAATTTCCTCACCTCTCTGTCACTATGGATTCCCTTCTATCTAAGCTTTTCTTTCAAAGCTGGCATCCCCCACCAGACTTGGTGATACCCACAAGTTATTCCAACCTTTGGACAAAGCACCGTGCTACATGTGCCCTGCTCTGGGCATTTGTCCACAGACTCTGGAGGACCAAAGTTCTGAGGACCAAGTTCCTCCCCCATCATTCTGCTTTCCTCTCACAGCCCCAGAAACTGATCTCACGCTTTACCTGGGCAACTTCCTCCTCAGCCCTCAGCAGAGACATACAAGTGCTGGTCAAGAGCTATAAAGCTTGGCCATGGGTGTCTGGGGACTGGAAATGCATGTTCTTATCCTCAACACCATCCACATAGCCAGGTGTTTTCTTTCTTTAAGGTGCTGTTTCTGAAGCTGAGAAGTCCCTATCTCTACCTACGCCCCAAGGATCTTCAGTTTCTTGCCCAAGACTTTGGAATTCCTCAACAACTGCCTGAATTAGCAGGAGAGAGGGACAATGCCATTTCTCTAACAGGTTCTCTGGGGGGATAACACCCCACCCTGATCAGCCACAGACATAGTCAACCTCCCACTGTAAGGACCATCTTTCACAAGGGTGGGGGCAACATGCTTCTACATACCTGTGAATACTCTTAAGTATTCCAAATTTTTCCAGATAATTCTTCACTACTGTCTGAAAGTTGCTACAAACGGGTATGTGGTAGTTCAGGTTCAGACACCTTTTATTTTCGTTAAACATAAAGGTGCAAAGGCATGTGGTACAGACCAGATAAAAACAGCCATGTGCGCAGACGGACAGAGGACGACAAAGGTCATCTTACCACCATCCCTCACTCAAAGTGAGCCGTGTGTATGTTCACCCAGCCTTTCTGCCTTTGTCGACATGATTCTCCTCACCAGGAATGCTGCTGCCTTCTCCCGGCCCATTTAATGGCCCCACGCATATCCACCTTCTCTGGGAAACTGCCTGAACACTCCTCCTGCCAGTCGTGTCCCTTTTGCCGCTGAACTCTACAGCACCAAGTCTGCCTCTCAGTGTTAAAGCTCGATTATTCAAGTCTCCATGGTCTACGCCCTGTGTCTCTGCATCATAAGAAGCTTGAACACAGGGATGGAGCCTTCTATTTTCCATGCGTATTCTCCCTACCAAGCGCTGAGCAAACAGCTACCGGATAACCTTGCTGCTGCTCTGGGCACTGGTTCCACAGTGCTCTATGAGGACTGGAAGGGCAAGGTCAGAAAACTTCGGGTGAAACTGGGGTCTGAGTCATTGACGTCCCCTCTGCCAAGACACACAGGCTGCCTTATAGGAAACAGTGGCTCAGAAGTAAAACAGATGCAGTGCTGTCCCTGACCCTGCCCAGAGGCTTAGTTCTTGCGGACAGGAGACAGGAACACCTGCAGCTACAGGGCACACAAAGCGGGCAGAGGAGTCACAGGGACCGTGGTGGGGCTCAGCCTTGAGCAAGATGACATCTCCAGCTTCCGCTTCTCCTCCCTCCCTCTGCAGCCCTGAACCACAGGGGCAGTATGAGCTGAGCGTAATGACCAGAGCAGTTCCAAGGCCAGCCTTGGACATCAGAGGCTGGCATTTAAACAAAGTGAGGACTAACAGCTGAGGCTGGGGGACGATGACCCTAACCAGCACCAGATGCTGGCTCACAGCTCCCTGGACGGTGCACACGCCTGCCCTCCACTCCCCGGCCCAGCTTGGGCTGTGGAGCTTTGACACGTACCCACTTTGCGATGGGACAGCCACGTGAGCTCTTCCCTTCCTTCCCCGTGTAGATGACCTTCTCGATACGGATGGCTTTCCCCTTCTCTCCGTACCTGGAGAGGGAGACAGAAGGCACCATTAGCACAGCTGAAGCCCAAAGGAGAGCAAGTCGTGGTAAGAAGGCAAGCCTCAGTGTGTTTCAGCTAGGGTTTCTAGTTACTGTGGGGCAATAGAGAAGGAAGAGAAAGATTTAAATGTTTATTCCGTGTGAAAGCCTCTGCGGACACAGCTCCACTTACAGACTCCCAGGGCCTCTCTGGTCCACCCGGCTCCGCTCTGTCCCAGGGCAGAAGGTCTCTGATTATTACCTCTGAGCACTCAAACCCAAGGCTCAACACAGGCATTTGTATCCAGCCCTGTTAGCAGAGTTAGTTATTTATAAATTCAGTAAAATGCAACAGACAAAACAAATGGGGAAACCCTTATTATTCTCTTTCAACAATCCCCAACTGACATTTGAACAGATGAGGACAGATAGCTGAGGCCAGGGGGAAGTGACTCTACCCAGTACAAACTGGCTCTGAGATTCCCTTGGACAGTAAACACGTCTGGTTCCTGCATACCCCCCTGCCCTGGCCCATACACGTGTGCACACACTCAGGGATTCACCACATTCAGAGGTGATGAAACTGTGGCCCCCAGAGCTGAACTGACCTGCCCAAGACCACACAGCTACCTGGGGGCAATGGCGGTTAAAGTGCGGCCTTGGAGGTCAGAGAGCTGGGGCTTGAGTGCCAGCGCAGCACTTCCTTGTTACAGGACCATGGCCAAATGACTGAACTTCTCTAAGCCTCAGTTTCCTCATCTGTAAAATGGATATAAAAATGGTTCCTGTCTCCTAGGCTTGGGAAAAGATCAAATGAGATAATCCACAGGGAGTGCATTAAAGTACTCTGAAGTTCCTGGCATGAGGGAAGAGCCCAGTAAATATTAATTATTCTTAATACTGTAAACATCCATCTTGCTGAATTATCTTATTTTTAATAGCTTTTTAGTTTCAAGTACAATAATATTATCGTCTGCAAGTACTGGTTATTTGCCACCTCCTCCTTTCCACTTTCCATGCCTCTATTTCCATCTCTTTTGTGTCTGTACTGGCCAGCCCCTTCCAAAGCACTAGCAGGCATCTTTGCTTATTTCCTGACTTTACTTGGAAATGTTTCTAACTACTCATCCCTGGGCATGAAGCTCGCTGACTTTGGGACAGAGATAGAGACTCCCTTACTTTGAAGGGCTCTACTAAGGGTCTCCTGTTCTAAGGATTTTTTTCTTTTCTTTTCTTTTTATTTTTTTTTTTGCTGCACTGGGTCTTCGTTGCTGCACGCGGGCTTTGTCTAGTTGCGGTGAGCGGGGGCTACTCTTTGTTGCGGTGCGCCGGCTTCTCGTTGCGGTGGCTTCTCTTCTTGCGGAGCACGGGCTCTAGGCACGCGGGCTTCAGTAGTTGTGGCACGTGGCTCAGTAGTTGTGCACGGGCTTAGTTACTCCGCGGCATGTGGGATCTTCCCGGACCAGGGCTAGAACCCATGTCCCCTGCAATGGCAGGCGGATTCTTAACCACTGCACCACCAGGGAAGTCCTTGTTCTAAGGATTTTTAATCAAGAATCGATCAATTATATCAAATACATTTTTAGCAACTAAGGACATAGAAGATTGAATGGTTTTTCTCCTTTGGTCAATCAACAAGGTATGCTATTTTAACAGACTGTCTAAAGCAAACAATCCTTATATTTCTGTAATAAATCCAATTTGGTCATAGCATATTTTAATATACTAGTTAACAGAGGATAATGTTATCATAGCTACTACATATTCAGTTTTACATATTCTTTATATAAATGCATATATAGTTACACATAATTCTTTATCTCATCCACTCTACTTCTAGGAATCTCTACCTCAGACCTAACTGTACAAATACACCAAGATTTAGGAACAAGATATTCACTGCTGCATCAACAAGAGACAATTTAGAAAGAACTTAAATACCCAGTATAGGACTGGCTAAATTAACCATAATAAAATAAATGTCCATGCAATGGAAAACCATGTAGTTGTCAAAAAGGATTCTACAGAATTGTATGTACTGACACGAAAGAAATTAAGTGGGGTGGGGGGTAATAGTTACAAACATGGGGATAGTATGCTTGATCCCATTTTGTTCAAAATTTCTCTATATACATACGTGTATCTTCATAAATGCTTAGAAAAAATAGTAACGTAAGCGTCAAACTTTAAAAAAATTTTTTTTCTTCTAAGAAGGATAATTATTAGAGAGCTTTATTCACTCTAGACTTTTAAAAAACAGCCTTTTATAGACATGTTTTATTTTTGTAATTGGAAACGAAAACAAATATTAAAAAAAAATGCTTCTGGGCTTCCCTGGTGGCACAGTGGTTGAGAGTCCGCCTGCCAATGCAGGGGACACGGGTTCGTGCCCCGGTCCGGGAGGATCCCACATGCCGCGGAGCGGCTGGGCCCGTGAGCCATGGCTGCTGAGCCCGTGCATCCGGAGCCTGTGCTCTGCAACGGGAGAGGCCACAACAGTGAGAGGCCCTTGTACCGCAAAAAAAAAAAAATGCTGATCTAAGGTTTCTCTGAGTTCAATGTTCTCTATTTCACTCAAGACCTCAGGAATGAGGTGAAAAGCTGATAACTGCCACATTAAAATTCTAAGGCTATGTTAGTCCCTTATAGAATGTGTTTGGAGACAGGACTCTGGGGAGTTTATATAGCGTGGTCTGGCTCAAGAGGAAAAGACCAGATAGTGCTGCTTTTGTTTGGTTCCTGGAAAACTTTCAGCTCCACAAGCATCTATCAGGAGCGCAGAGCCTGGACGCTCAGTGTGTCCTGGGGTCGCTGTGGGAAGAACAACCTGAGGTGACCATACTGTTCGCACTGGAACAGACAGGATATCGTGTTCCCCACAGGAGGGTGAGCTGAGGACACAGACTAGGGCTTTCTGACCAAGACCTTCCCCACCGTCTCATCCTTGTGAGAAATGCTTCCTGTAGTGAACTTCATATTTGAGAGCAAATAAAAGGGCCAAGCACTGTCCGATCAGTTAGATTTTTTTTTTTTTAACCAGAACTGTCTCTGTGTTTAAAGACAACCAACCAACTCTGGATTTAGTTCTTTTTTCTTAAATGTCTTACTTTCCGGCCTATCATTAAGAGGCTAGGATACAGGTGAACTCCTAGACCCTAAACTAAGTCTGGAAGGGTAGGCTGAAACCTTATTCTAAAGGGTGACTTCATCGTCTTAGCCAGTGATTCTCAAAGGTGGTGCTGGGACCAGCATCCCCTGGAAACTTGGGAGGAATGCAGACTCTCGGGTCCCATCCCAGACCTGCTGGGTCAGAAACCCCGGGGTGGGGCCCAGCGATCTGTGCTTTCACAAGTCCTCCAGAGACCTGAAGCATGCTTGATAACTGATCTAAAGTTATCAGCTTGATAACCGCTGATCTAAAGTTGTGATTCTTCAGGGTTACCTTTATCACACATTAATGAGACCAGTTCCCCCCAAACTCAGAGGATTTGCTGGCACGGTGTTGGTGCTTTCATTCCTAGAATGAACATTTAATGAACTCCTAGGTTGCAGAGAATCCCCTTTCCAGTTAGAGGACATGTGGCGCTGTGCAGCAGGCCATTCTCAGATATGGGTTTGAACACCTGACTCCAATTATCTATGACAACAAGGACCTGGGTACCCAGGAGGTATGGAACCCATTAACAAATCTGATAATATTTTAGGACTTGCTTTCAACCTCCTCCTTTCACAGTCTTTCCCAGATAAACTAAAAGCACCAACATCCCCTGGATTTCAGTTTTCTTCCCTCTTTGCCTTGGCCAACTCCTGGCAGTGGAGTGGTCCTGCAGAGTAAGGGTTGGGCGGGAAGTCTAGAGAAAGAGACAGCCTGGATCATTCACAAACTAGACCCCCGTCCAGGTGATTTTCAGCAATCATTCATTCCCCTCCTGTTCCACAAGGAGCTTAAAAAGATGTCTATGTGATAAAAATAACAGGTGATGAAATCAGAGTAAAGGGGGAAACAGATACACATGATGTTGTTATGTAAAATGCAGACGGTGGGATCTTGTGCATATTTTTAAGAGATGAGCCTAGAACATTTCATCACATGAGAAATCAAGGAAGCTAATGAAGACTCCTTAGGGTCATGTCAAAAGGACTCAGGAGTGAACCTGAATAGGCTCCCACGGGCCAAAGATGAGAAATTACGTTCCTCCTAATGAGGATACACAAATCTGGCTCTAAGCTTACTAGCAGCCAACATTAAGATGGAAACACAATCTGTTCCATGATTTACAAGGCCCTTAAGATAAAAATAAACCAGTTGCTGAGGAAAAACACAAGTATTCCTGGTCTTGAGAGGAATTCCTCCCTTGGATCAGTTTCTGGAGAATCTACACTTGGCTGTTATTTTTAAAGCAATGACAAAAAAAAAAAAAAAAGGACAAATCTCAACTTTATCATTATCTCTTAATCCTTGTTTCAAAACATACTCTTCTATAACTAAAAGTTACTGAGAGAGCTGTCTAGAAATCTTGCAAAATTGCTACCAAAAAACAAACACACATAAAAACTGTCCCAGATCAAACTTGTACATTTGACTCCCCTGCAGCCCTCAACCTGTAAACAATAGTGTCAAGATTCCTCACAAAAATCGCTGGCCAAAAAGAATGCTCAACATCATTAATCATTAGAGAAGTGCAAACCAAAACTACAATGAGGTATCATCTCACACTAGTCAGAATGGCCATCATCAAAAAATCTACAAACCATAAATGCTGGAGAGGGTGTGGAGAAAAGGGAACCCTCTTGCACTGCTGGTGGGAATGTAAATTGATACAGCCACTATGGAGAACAGTATGGAGGTTCCTTAAAAAACTACAAATAGAACGACCATACGACCCAGCAATCCCACTACTGGGCATATACCCTGAGAAACCCATAATTCAAAGAGTCATGTACCACAATGTTCATTGCAGCTCTATTTACAATAGCCAGGACATGGAAGCAACCTAAGTGTCCATCCACAGATGAATGGATAAAGAAGATGTGGCACATATATACAATGGAATACGACTCAGCCATAAAAAGAAACAAAATTGAGTCACTTGTAGTGAGGTGGATGGACCTAGAGTCTGTCATACGGAGTGAAGTAAGTCAGAAAAAGAAAAACAAATACCGTATGCTAACACATATATGGAATCTAAAAAAAAAAAAAAAAAGGTAATGAAGAACCTAGGGGCAAGATGGGAATAAAGACGCAGACCTACTAGAGAATGGACTTGAGGACACAGGGAGGGGGAAGGGTAAGCTGGGACAAAGTGAGAGAGTGGCATGGACATATATACACTACCAAATGTAAAACAGATAGCTGGTGGGAAGCAGCCGCATAGCACAGGGAGATCAGCTCGGTGCTTTGTGACCACATAGAGGAGTGGGACAGGGAGAGTGGGAGGGAGGGAGACGCAAGAGGGAAGAGATATGGGGATATATGTATAGCTGATTCACTTTGTTATAAAGCAGAAACTAACACACCACTGTAAAGCAATTATACTCCAATAAAGATGTTAAAAAAAAAAAAAAACTCGCTGGCCAAAATAATGCCCGCTCCAACCTCGAAGCTGTAACACATACACGTGTGGGCACATGCAGGCGTGCATGAATAACCCACACACTGTTTTAAATGTTTCATTCTCACCAACAATGCACTAGGGTTCCCTTTTCTCTACATCCTTGCCAACATTTGTTATTTGTAGACTTTTTGATGATTCTTATGGACTCAGAGGTGCTCTTTCAATCCGTCTTGAATTTACAGATTGGGTCTTGGATCAAATGCTTTTCTGATGGGCTTCTATGAACATAAATGTTTCCAGATGGTACACGATAAGTGTTTACAGCAGATCACTGTGCTCCATCCATCTTACCTTTTTTTCATTCAGGGATATCACTACAGTTATTTAGTTCAAAATCATGTTCCCTGCTATATTAATGACAGTATTAGTTACCCTGGTCAGACAAAACCTGGTCCCCAAATTTGTAGAAATTCTAAGCTATAATTCTCAGCCCCCAGCCTTCCACACATCTGTATGTCTACGTATATGTATGAGCAAACATGTTTATGTCTTACATAATTTACGCCTTTACTATTAAGATACTAACGTTTGTTATAAAAATGCAGTCAGTAAATGCAGATATGATGTAGACACCCTGTATGTAATATTTACTAGTAAGCACTACGTGCTTTCCAGACATCAATTCAGTTTATCCTCGTAACTCTCCTCCAATGTATGTACTTTTATTTTCTCCATTTTGCAGATAAGAAAACCGAGTCACAGAGAAGTAAAGCAACTTACCAAAGAACTCATCAGTAAGTGGAAGGGCCAGGACTGGACCTTAGTCTAGCTCCAGTGTCCATATGCTCTCAATCACCAAGCTATTTTTACCTCTCTACACACTGGAACTCACAGTATTTAATATCTACTGTGGACACGTACATAGATTTTAAAGTTTCTATCTGTACAAAACTGCTTAAAAAAGCAAAACAGAGCTGTCAAGTAAAAGCCCTATAGTCTTGAGTTCGAATTGGAAGTGTATATAAACTCAGTGTATGTATTTAATCACTAAACAGTAGCAAAAATAAAAAACCTACACGTACATCTTGGCTCTTTCTACTGAAATGGCCTAGAAAAATGAGCACCCCCAGCACCCAGAGTCTGTTTTCTAAATATTTCTTCCCCCAATAAAAATACGAGAAATCAGGAACTCCTAGGATCATGTCAAAAGGACTCGGGAGACAATGTGAATAGGTGCCCACTGGCCAAAGACGAGGCATACATTTCTCCTACTGGTGGTACAAAGCACCACCTAGGAAGTAATTTTGAAAGAAAGAAACAATCTGATTCTGATCAAGCCTTTAGATCTAACCAATTTACACGACACAGGGCAGAAGAACCTGTTAAACAATACCACAGGAAAGGTAGCAGCAAACTTCAGACCATGAGAAACTCTACAGGACATACAACCATTTAACCCCATTTCTTTAATAAAAATTATTTCAAGGAAGAGTGAGATAAAAGGGGATTACGGGGATCTGTAAAGGGCAGACCGACAGACAGAAAGAAACCCTGGGCACTGGGGATGAAAATCCCACATTCAACTTTTCAGTCTGTGTATCAGGGATTCCTTTCTGTAGGCTGTCTAGAATAAGGCAATGAAAACGAGATGTGCTTAAAATCCATATTCTGTTAACAACTTGCCCACTTCTCCTTGGACATCTGTGCATCACTCACCGTTCCTCCATGAGCTCCCGGATGGAGGCTACCGTGGGGCCAGATCCCAGGTGAGTGTAATACGGACCTTCATCTTTCTCCACTATTTGTTCTGCAGAAATAGAAAGTAAACATTACTTGGAGACATCAATTCATTAATATTAATGTAGGAAGGCACACCATCAACAGGAAAATTAATGGCATAGTACAAAACAGGAAATTCAATGGCTTATAAACATGTGGAAATATGTTCACCCCCATTCGAAATCAGGAAATACAAATTAAAATCACAGTGAAACACCATTACACACAGACCAAATTGGCAAAAATTTAGAAATCTGATAAAAACTATGCATTATCAAGACTGAGGCTTAACCACTCTGGAATTTAGTTTATCATTATACATAATCTAGACCAGAGGTCAGCAAACCACTCCACTCCTAGATACAGACCCAAACCAGCTGAAAGCAAGGACTCAAACAACACCTGTGTGCAGTGTTCATTGCAGCATTACTACAAGAGCCAAAAGGTGAAAACAACACAAGTGTCCATCAACAGATGAACAAAATGTGGTATATCCATACAGCAGGATATTATTCGACCATGAGAAGGATTTATTCTGATATGTGCTATAACACGGATGAACCTGGAAAATGTTAGGCTAAGTGAAATAAGCCAGACACAAGAGGACAAATATTGTATGATTCCACTTACAGGATATATCTAGAATAGGTAAATTCATAGAGGTAAAAATCAGATTAGAGGTTACCAGCCGCTGGGAGGAGTGGGGAATGGGGACTTATCACTTAATAGGTAGAGTTTCTGTTTAGTGTTGAAACACTTTTAGAAATAGTGGTGATGGTTGCACGATACTGTGGATGTAATTAATGCCACTAAACTATACACTAAATAATGGTTAAAATGGCAAATCTTATATTATGTATGTTTTACCACAGTTCAAAAAAGAGAAAGGAATGAAGTACTGATACGTGCTACAATGTGGACGAACCTTCAAAAACATTACAATAAGTGAAAAAGTCAGACACAAAATATCACATATATCCCGTGATTCCATTCATACGAAATAATCCAGGATAGGTAAAGCCATAGAAACAGAAAGCAGAATGGTGGTTGCCAGAGGCTGGGAGGAGGGAGGAATGGAGAGTCACTACTTAATGGGTATAGGATTTTATTTCAGAATGATGAAAGGAACTAGATAGAGGTGATTATTTCACAATATTGTGAATATACTAAATGTCAGTGAATTGTACACTTTAAAATGATTAATTTGGGGGGCGGGAACCTTCAAGATGGCAGAGGAGTAAGACATGGAGATCACTTTCCTCCCGACAAATACATCAGAAATACATCTACACGTGGAAAAACTCCTACAGAACACCTACTGAATGCTGGCAGAAGACCTCAGACTTCCCAAAAGGCAGGAAACTCCCCACATACTTGGATAGGGCAAAAGAAAAAACGAAGACAAAAGAATAGGGACAAAAGAACGTGCACCTCTGGGAAGGAGCTGGGAAGGAGGAAAAGTTTCCACACACTAGGAAGCCCCTTCACTGGAGGAGACGGGGGTAGGCGGAGGGAAGCTTCGGAGCCGCGGAGGAGAGCGCAGCCACCGGGGTGCGGAGGGCAAAGCGGAGAGATTCCAGCACAGACGATCGGCGCCGACCAGCACTCACCAGCCTGAGAGGCTTGTCTGCGCACCCGCAGGGGCGGGCGGGGGCTGGGAGCTGAGGCTCGGGGCTTCGGAGGTCAGACCCCAGGGAGAGGACTTGGGTTGGCTGCGTGAACACAGCCTGAAGGGGGCTAGTGCGCCACAGCTAGCTGGGAGGGAGTTCGGGAAAAAGTCTGGACCTGCTGAAGAGGCAAGAGACCATCCTTTCAGCGTGCACGAGGAGAAAGCATTCCTCCCCAGTGTGCCCACCGAAAGGCAGAGCACCGCCTAAGCAAGCTCCAGAGACGGGCATGAGCCGCGGCTATCAGCTCGGACCCCACAGACAGGCATGAAACACTAAGGCTGCTGCTGCAGCCACCAAGAATCCTGTGTGCGAGCACAGGTGACTATCCACACACCCCCAGGAGCCTGTGCAGCCCGCCACTGCCAGGGTCCCGAGGTACAGGGACAACTTCCCTGGGAGAACACACGGCGCACCTCAGGCTGTTGCAACGTCACGCCGGTCTCTGCCGCTGGAGGCTCCCCCTGCATTGCAGTTATGACTACTGTACCCCTCCCTCCCCCCGGCCTGAGTGAGCAAGAGCCCCCTAATCAGCCGCTCCTTTAACCCCCTCCTGTCTGGCCGGGAACAGATGCCCGAGGGCGACCTACACAGAGAGGCGGGGCCAGAACCAAAGCTGAACCCCGGGAGCCGTGCGAACGAAGAAGAGAAAGGGCAATCTCTCTATGCAGCCCAGGGAGCAGCAGATTAAATCCCCACAATCAACTTGATGAACTGTGCCTCTGTGGAACACCTGACTAGACAACGAACGTTCCCAAAATTGAGGGAGCGGACTTTGGGTGCAACAGTAGACTTGGGGATTGCTGTTTGCAACTGATTTGTTTCTGATTTTTATATTTATTTTAGTTTAGTTTTTAGTGCTTGTTATCACTGGTGGATTTATTAGTTTGGTTTCTCTCTTATTTTTATTATTTTTTCATTTTATTATTGTATTAATTTATTTTTCTTCCTTTTTTCTTCTTCCTTTTCTTCTGAGCCGTGTGGCTGACAGGGTCTTGGTGCTCCAGCCGGGTGCCAAGCCTGAGCCACCGAGGTGGGAGAGCTGAGTCCAGGACATTGGACCACCAGAGACCTCCCGGCCCCATGTAATATCAATTGTTGAGAGCTCTTGCAGAGATCTCCAGCTCAACACTAAGACCCAGCTCCACCCAACGGCCAGCAAGCTCCAGTGCTGGACGCCCCATACCAAACAACTAGCAAGAGAGGAACACAACCCCACCCATTAGCAGAGAGGCTGCCTAAAATCACACTAAGGTCACAGACACCCCAAAACGCACCACCGGACACAGCCCTGCCCACCAGAAAGACAAGATCCAGCCCCACCCACCAGAACACAGGCACCAGTCCCCACTACCAGGAAGCCTACACACAAGCCACTGACCAAACCTCACTCACTGGGGGCAGACACCAAAAACAACGGGAACTACAAACTTGCAGCCTGTGAAAAGGAGACCCCAAACACAGTAAGTTTAAAAAAATGAGAAGACAGCGAAATATGCAGATCAAGGAGCAAGGTAAAACCCACCAGGCCAAACAAATGAAGAGGAAATAGGCAGTCTACCTGAAAAAGAATTCAGAGTAATGATAGTAAAGATGATCCAAAATCCTGGAAATAGAATGGAGAAAATACAAGAAACGTTTAACAAGGATCTAGGAGAACTAAAAAGCAAACAAACAATGATGACCAACACAATAAATGCAATTTAAAATTCTCTAGAAGGAATCAATAGCAGAATAACTGAGGCAGAAAAACAGGTAAGTGACCTGGAAGATAAAATAGTGGAAATAACTACCACAGAGCAGAATAAAGAAAAAAGAATTGAGGACCGTCTCTGAGACCTCTGGGACAACACTAAATGTACCAACATTTGAATTATAGGGGTCCCAGAAGAAGAAGAGAAAAAGAAGGGGACTGAGAAAATATTTGAAGAGATTATAGTTGAAAACTTCCCTAATAGGGGAAAGGAAATAGTCAAGTCCAAGAAGCACAGAGAGTCCCATATGGGATAAATCCAAGGAGAAACATGCCAAGACACATATTAATCAAAAACTAAAAACAAAGTTATTTAATTTAACAAAAATTAAATACAAAGAAAAATACTAAAACCAGCAAAAATATTAAAAGCAACAAATAACATACAAAGGAATCCCCATAAGGTTAACAGCTGATCTTTCAGCAGAAACTCTGCAAGCCAGAAGGGAGTGGCAGGACATATTTAAAGTGATGAAAGGGAAAAACATACAACCAAGATTACTCTAGCCAGTAAGGATCTCATTCAGATTTGACAGAGAAATTAAAACCCTTACAGACAAGCAAAAGTTAAGAGAATTCAGCACCACCAAACCAGCTTTACAACAAACGCTAAAGGAACTTCTCTAGGCAGGAAACACAAGAGAAGGAAAAGACCTACAAAAACAAACCAAACCAATTAAGAAAATGGTAATAGGAACATATATATCAATAATTACCTTAAATGTAAATGGATTAAATGCTCCAACAAAAGACACAGACTGGCTGAATGGATACAAAAACAAGACCCATATATATGCTGTCTACAAGAGACCCACGTCAGACCTAGGGACACATACAGACTGAAAGTGAGGGGATGGAAAAAGATACTCCATGCAAATGAAATGAAAAACAAAAGAAAGTTGGAGCAGCAATTCTTATATCGGACAAAATAGAGTTTAAAATAAAGATTATCACAAGAGACAAAGAAGGACACTACATAATGATCAAGGGACCAATCCAAGAAGAAGATATAACAATTTTAAGTATTTATGCACCCAGCATAGGAGCACCTCAATACATAAGGCAAATGCTAACAGACATAAAAGGGGAAATCGACAGTAACACAATAATAGTATGGGACTTTAACACCCCACTTTCACCAAAAGACAGATCATCCAAAATGAAAATGAATAAGGAAACACAAGCTTTAAATGACACATTAGACGAGATGGATTTATCTGATATTTATAGGACATTCCATCCAAAAACAACAGAATACACTTTCTTCTCAAGTGCTCATGGAACATTCTCCAGGATAGATCATATCTTGGGTCACAATCAAGCCTCAGTAAATTTAAGAAAATTGAAATTGTATCAAGTATCTTTTCCAATCACAACACTATGACACTAGATATCAATTACAGGAAAAAACTGTAAAAAATACAAACACATGGAGGCTAAACAATACACTACTAAATAACCAAGAGATCACTGAAGAAATCAAAGAGGAAATCAAAAAATACCTAGAAAAAAATGATAATAAAAACACGACGACTCAGAAAGAGAAAAACAAGTACCATATGCTAACACATATATATGGAATCTAAAAAAAAATAAAAGGTTCTGAAG